ATATGTATTATTATCATTTACTTTGGATATTTTGAGAAAACTAGTGAGCCAAGAAAGATGAAGTGTGCATTGTAACACAGAGGGAAAAAATGAGCTGGAATCCTCTAGAGCAGATATGAACATCTGACATCAAAAGTTGGATTTCCTCTTTTTATTGTTGGGCTGTTGGCTTCTTGACATCCTGGAACAAGAACTCTCCACTGCATCTAGGGCTACAAATGTGTTTGCTGATGGTTGTTAGAGAAGTCCATGGATATGAAAAATTTGGGGTGTGTGGATTCATTCTCTGAGAATTAGAATCACTAATTTATTCCTCAGCCCTTTCCAACTGGATCCTTATTGTTCTAGTCATTTTTATTTGTCTTTCCAGGAAGTGCTCAACAACACCCAGACAAGGTTGCTGAAGCCATAATGGATGCCATTGAAGACTTTATCCAGAAAGGACTTGTCCGGTCTGTGAAAAAAGTTAAAGTTGTTATCTTTCAGCCTCAAATAATGGATGTTTTTTGTGCCAACATGAAAAAAAGAGAAGGCTCCCTGGCTCCCTCACAGTCTATAGTGTCCAAAATTGCATGTGAGTTGTTGATTTTTATGAAATGCATGTTGCTAATATTGAGATCACATGAGAAATAGCTAAAATTCTACATTATTTTTTTGGTAGTTTATTAGCTTCCCCTGGTTTTATTGAGGTATAATTAATATACATCACAGGTTAAGGTGTACTGCATAATGGTTTGACTTTACATATGTTACTGCAATATGTTTAGTTAGTATCCATCATCTCATACATCTCTTAAAATGAGAAAGCAAAATGATTTTTTCCCCTTGTGATGAGAACTCTTAGAATTAACAGCTTTCATGTATATTATACAGGTATGTTAACTGTAGTATTACGCTGTACATTATTATATCCTTGGTAATTATTTATCTTGCAACTGGAATTTTGTACATTTGACCTCTTTTTTCAATTTCCCCTTCTCCCAATCCACCTCTGGTAACCACAAATCTGATCTCTCTTTCTATGACTGTGAGTTGTTGTTGTTGTTTTTTTAGCTTCCACATATAAGTGAGATTTTTAAAATATATTTTATTGATTTTTTTACAGAGAGGAAGAGAGAGGGATAGAGAGTTAGAAACATCGATGAGAGAGAATGATCCATCAGCTGCCTCTTGCACACCACCTACTGGGGATGTGGCCACAACCAATGTACAAACCTTTGACCAGAATCAGACCTGGGACCTTTCAGTCCGCATGCTGATGCTCTATCCGCTGAGCCAAACCGGTTTTGGCTATAAATGAGATTTTAAAGAAATATATTTATATTGATTTCAAAGGGGAAGGGAGAGGGAGGGAGAGAGAGAGAAAGAAACATCCATGATAAAAGAGAATCATGGATCGGCTGCCTCCTACACTCCCCCTACTGGGGATTGAACCCACATCCACTTAGGATCCTCCAGTCTATAGGCTGATGCTCCATTCACTGAGCCAAACTGGCTAGGGTTGTAAATGAAATCTTATGGTATTTGTCTTTTTCTGTTCACCTTGCATCGGCTAATCTTTAAAAAGGTATCAGAAAGAAAAATTAAGAAAACAATCCCATTTACAATTGCATAAAAAAGAATAAAATATCTATGAATAAATTTAACCAATAAGGTAAGACTGATAAGACACTGATGAAAGAAATTGAAGAAGACAAAATAAATGGAAAGATATTATGTGCTCATGTATTGTAAGAATTAATATTGTTAAACTATCCATACTTCCTAAAGCAATCTACAGATTCAGTGCAATCCCTATCAAAATTCCAATGGAATTTTCTCAGAAATACAACAAACAATTGTAAAGTTTGTATGGAACCACAAAAGACGCCAAATAGCAAAAGCAATTTTCAGACAGAATAAAAGTGTTAGAGGCATCATGATTCCTGATTTGACAGTATATTACAGAGCTACAGTAATCAAAACAAAAAGGGTATTGGGTATTAATATAAAAACAGACACATCGATCATGGAAGAGAATAGAGAGCCCAAATAAACCCATGCATATATGGTCAATTAATTGATAACAAAGGAGCCAAGAATATACAATGGGGAAAGGGTAGAATTTTTAATAAATAGTGTTGGGCACCTACTTCAGCAGCACATATCTATATAAATAAAAGTGAAAGTGACCATTATGACTGGTCCACTAAATGACTGGTCAACCAGTTGCTATGATGCTCACTGACCACCAGGGGCAGACACTCAACACAGGAGCTATACACCCTGGTGGTCAGTGTGCTCCCAAGGCCAACCTCCGTGATCCCTGCCTCCCTCTGGCCTCCCTCACGGGAGCAGGCCCCCATTGGCCCTGATCGGGACTGGGTGAGAAGGCCCTGATCAGCCCTGATGGCTGGCCAGGCCAAGGGACCCTACCCGTGCATGAATTCATGCACCAGGCCTCTAGTGCTAAAATGAGTGGTGTTGGGAAAACTGAACAGCCATGCAAAAGGATGAAACTGGCCACTATTTTACACCACACACAAAAAGCCACTCAAAATAGATTAAAGACTTGAATGTAAGACCTAAACCATAAAACATCTAAAAGAAAACAGAACAGGTAAGCTTCTTAACATCAGTCCTTACAAGTGAGAATATATCAAACAAAACACCTTTTGTAGAGCAAAGAAAACCATCAATATTTTTCTATTCAATGGGTGAAAATATTTGCAAGTCATATACCTGATTAGGGGTTAATATAAATAATATATAAAGAACTCCTACAACTTGATAGAAAACACCCCAAGCAATCCAATTTTAAAATGCACAGTGGATATGAATAGACATATTTTTTCCAAAGAAGATGTAGAAATGGCCAATAGGTACATGAAAAGGGGTTTAGCATCACTAATGATCAGGGAAATGCAAATGAAAATAATAATGAGATATCACCTCACACATATGAAAATGCTGTTATGGAAAAGACACCCTTGGCTTGCAGGAGCCCATTTTCTAGGCCTCTCCCCAGAGAGACAGTGTTCTCTTGGCGTTTAAGTTGCCTGTTCTGTTGCCACATAAGTTTGTGTGATCAGGGTTGTCCTTTGGCAAAATGAAGAGACAGAAGAGAGAGAGATATAAATAATAAGAATTTCCCACACCCAGCCATGTACACTTTGCAGACCACAAGGGCCCTTTTCCCCAGATGTTCTGGACAGAAATACAGAATTTCTCTAAGAGCTTTAACTCCCTGTGGTGCCACTATGGAGTTCTGCAACTGGGGTCACCTTGTGGGTAGGACTGGTTTTAAAGAAATAAATATGGAAAATAAGAGATCCCTGCCATACACATCAGCTCACAATCCCCTTTTCTCAATCCTCTGGCCTCATGCAGGGATCCTCTGAGCGTTTTGCTACCTGTGCTCCTTGTGCAGTTCCAAAGCTGGGAGAGAAAAGAGGAAAATTTCAAAACACCCCTCTTTCAGGTTGCCTCCTCAGGTTTTGACTCCCCTCCCCAGTCTGCCTGCTGTTGCTTACTTCACAGTCCTCAGTCAGTAGATACTGTGTTATTTGTATTGTAATCAGTTGGGGTGATAGGCTCTCATCAGCTTACTTCACCTTGACCAGAAACCCACATTTGATATGTTTTCTCTATGTATGTAAAAGGCTAAGTGACCATCTGACTGTCCTACCATCAAATTGGTAGCTATGACATGCAATGAGCATCAGGGAGGAGGTGCTCAATGCAGGAGCTGCTGAGCTGTGTTGACTTGGCAGTGGTGGTTCTCAGGTGTCTCACCCAAGAACCAGAGATAAGGGAGCCTGATTTCGGGGTGTGTCACTGGAGAACTGCCCTCTCACAATCTGGGACCTCTTGGGGGATGTGGGAGAGTGGTTTTGGCCCAATCCCCACAGGCCAGGCTGAGGGACCCCACCTACTGAAGGGACCCCTGCTCACTCTGCAGATGCCCTTCAAGTCTCAGCGCTGCCCCAGGTATAGCCAGCATGGGAGGGATCTGGGGAGGTTGGCTCCAAGGTATGTCCAGCCCCGCTCACCCAGTCTTGGGCTCTCCCCCCAACCCTCACCACCTTCTAATTAATTTCCTTTAATGTGCACGAATCTGTGCACCAGGGCTCTGGTGTTTTATAATGCTTTTTCAGAAACAGGCTGTTCCTGGGGCTAAGTGTGAAAACCGTGTTAAAGACCAGAGATACAGGGCTTGGGATGGAGAGGGAGCGAAGTATGGGAGAGACACATGTGAGGAGCATGAGACTTAAGTCATTCTTGCTATTGTTAACTTGACTATTAACTCCTTTTTTTTCAAATTTTTTCTTTCAAGGTTTGTATGGGACTGTTACCAGCCCCGCTTCAGGAGTGCAAGAAATGAAAATTGGCCCCATCACCTTACAGGTGGCCACTGGAGATATTACTGAAGAAGAGGCAGACGTGATTGTAAATTCAACAACAAAGACATTTGATTGCAAAGCAGGTACTTGTAGGATTTTTGCTATAATAATGGTCACAGTCAATCCCATAAATAAGGTTTCAATAACCAAACCATTCTACAGTTGCTATATCCAAACTGGTTTCTACAACTTTGGCTTATTAATATGAATTAATAAGTTTAAAATTATTTTGACATGGTTTCTTATAATTGGTAACAGTTATTTCATGAATTTTTCTTCTTTGTGATCAGAAATGCCCAGTTGTAAGAATCCTTTAATGATGGGGAAAGCATTTAGATAATGAGACAGGCAATCATTCTGATCCCAGTGTATTGTACTGATTTTTTACTCATGTTTGTAAATATGTTGATGTTCTTATGTAGGGGTCTCCAAAGCAATTTTGGAAAAGGCTGGACAAAATGTGGAAATAGAATGTTCTCGCCTAGGTAAGGCACTATGCTGTTTTTTGGTCCTAAAGTATAAGTGGAAGGTTGAATGTGGGAGGCTGTGGAGAGGGAGAAAACATATTAATCTTAAAATCATACATTTTACTGAAGAATTCCACTTATAGAGAATTAGAAATGAAGAGGAGTGAAAAGTGAGATTATGGTTAAAAAGAGAAGGTAAGCAAGAAAGAATCATCAGAGGTAGTATTTCAGGAGTCTCTTATTGGTGCAAAATGCTTTACTTGCCAAAGCAGACATTTTGCTTTGTAAACAATCAGAGAGTAAGTTTAGCATCTGATTTTGCATCTTTTTGTTTTGTGTTTCTTAGCTCAACAGCACAACAATGGTTATATAATTACTGATGGTGGAGCACTGAAGTGCAAGAATATTATTCATGTTGATGGTGGAGCTAATGTCAAGACATCAGTTACCTGTGTTTTGCAAGAGTGTGAAAAACGGACTTACTCCACCATTTGCCTCCCAGCCATTGGGACAGGTTGGTAGCCTCTCAAGGCTAAATTCTTTGTCTCCCTTTTCCCTCTGGTTTCCTGCTCACCTGAATGTAGTTGATGCTGAGTCTGAGGAAGGGCAGCTTCCTCATCCCAAGGCAGTCACTGAGGCAATGAGCAAGACATCTGCTCTCTAATAAGGAGGGGAAGAGAGGGGAAGGGAAAGGAGCAAACACAAAGAACGGCCATCCCTCCTTCTCTTTTCACCTGTTCCTTTCTCTCTTTTCCATCTCCTGTATATCCCCCATTATTTAGTACTTAACCTTCCACTCCATCCCCTCTCCAAGGAGAACTTTGGTGCATGGACTTCCACCTCCCTGTAACTGAGTCCCAGGTGAGCATTGCCAAGCCTCTGCTCTCACCTCTTGAGCAGTGGCTGTGCAGGTTGGCCTTAGGGCATCTCTGCTCAGAAAGCTTTCAATCACCTTAACCCAGTGGGTTCTAATGGGTCAGACACTCAACTCACCACCTTTCTCTTCTCAGCCTCCTTGCCTCTTTCAAGTTTCCTGTTTTCCTCTGACTATATAATGATTGATGATGGATTCTCCATCTACAAAGATGGGCTTTGGGTTTATCATTACTAAGGTTATGCTTTTTGAGCTCTTTTCCTAGGAATCTGAGTTCTATAAGTATGCATTGAATAGGAATTGTTGCTTGATCTCCCTTAAGAGAGCTGGTCAGCAGAGGCAAATTTCCTCTGGCTTGAAGTGGAATGCAGCTGATCTGTTCCATAGAGGGACCACTCAGTACTGGATTGATCATTCCATTGCACAGGAATCTAAGTTTGAATGTCTGCACTGGCCTGGTAGGCCCTTCAAAAGTTTAGCCTCAATAAACTTACCCATCCTTGTCACTTTCACATCAGCCAACATGTAATCTATGAACCATCTCTCTATCATCTATCTATTATCTATCATCTACCTATCTCTCTATCTCTACCTATCTCTCTGTCATCTGTCATCTCTTGTAGACACCCATTAATGATTGTCTAGTGTTTGTCTCCTTTTGCTATTTCCTCTTTGTTCTAGTCTTGTGATTCTATCTTAACTTTATTTGGACCAAAACAGGCCGCCCAGTGATAGCATAGACCCGCCGAAGGGAGGACCTAAGTAGAATCAAAAAAGAAACAAGGAACTGGGGCTGGTTTAGTTTTGTATACATATGTATGCCTGTTTGAGTATTTCTGAGTTACTACAAACCTTTTGTTTCTTCTATAGAACTGATGACCTGATGGCATTGCTGTTCTGCACAAGTAACTGCACATTAGCAGGTTCTCCTTGCTTATCTTCTTTACCTATCTCTGTCACCACCTGAGCTGGTTCCTAGACAAACAGATGGGAACACTTTCTCCCTCAGTGTAGTTTATGAGTTGAGTTTGACTGGGAGGGATTAAGACAGCTTCTGGCTGTAAAGGAAGCCCTCTACCTAGTACCTACAGATATCTGGTCTCAGGGAGAGAATGGGTGGTCAGTGATTCCTGCAAGCACCTCAAGTTCAATGAAAACTCCAAACCCAATTCACTGTCTTCTCCCCCAAAACCTTCCCTTCCTGTTATATCGCTGACTACTTCACTTTCTATGTAGAATCTTTGACTCTACCCTCTTTATCACTCCCATGTTTATTAGTATATTAAGTAGTTTGAGTAAATGTTTTCTGAGTGACTGCCATGTGCCAGGCACCATGTTGAGGCCTGGAGGATAGAAAGATGCCCAAGAAAAGGATCCAGTCCACAAGAAGCACCTAGCTCACTGTGAGACAGACATGTAAACAAATAACTGCAGTATTGTGTGCCCATGATATGCACATGAAGGTGTGTGGGTGGCAAAAGAAGGTACATGTATACTCCAACAAATGGTCATGTATACAAGCATTTAGTCCCTAGGCCTTCCTGACTTTATTTCCTAAATATCTCCTTGCTCTGACCTCTTTTTCTTCAATTCTTGTCTTTGCCTAACCTTTTGTTATAGCCTCCTTTCTAGGCCTGGGATCTCTGCCCCAGTGCCTCCTCCCATCCCCCCACCCCCACACACCTCTCAACCCAATGGCATGGTAGGCCTTGCAGACTTATTTTTCTCAAAAACAGATTTATTTTCCTGAACACACCAGGTGAGATTGCACATCTCACACCCCTGTTACACAGTTGTAGGCTTTCCCTCAGTTTTTCATACTTCACCTATTGAACACCATTTGTCTTTATATATTATATGCCATGTGTCCTAAGTGCCTAGATGAGCATCTAGCTTTTGATGGGACACATTAAATATTTGTTGAAAGTGAGTGACTGTATCTAAACACTCCTATTTAAATTCTTCTCACTACCATGAGATAACCATAGCTTTGCAAAGGAGAATTTCCCTCTTTCCCTGCTCATCTAATTCAAAACAAAACAAAAAACCTGAACAAACCTTCTTGGGTAGTTTTATGTGGGGTTTGTCTACATTCTCACACTTGTCAACAGAGCCAAGTCTATCTTATTTCTGCCATAATGGTGGGCCCCATCAATGGGGATAAACCTAGTGGGCCTTATTCCATCACACCAGATTTGTCAGTGGACTTTCACATTGTTACCTGCCCTTCCCCCACATGGAAGCAGTCAGTGGGACTGCTTCCATGGTTTTTTATGAGAATTTTCAAGGAACTTGCCATGATCTTACCAAGGCAGTAAGCTGGAAAAAACAAAAAACAAAAAACAAAAAAAACAAAAAAAAGGTATGGAGCATGCTTAAGTATGTAGAAGACCCATTCAGGTGGCAACCTTGAATCCTGCTAGTCAGCTAAAATCTCACCAAGTGTGGGAAGAAAGACTTCCTGGAGGTTTAAAGATAACTTGCATCTAAAAAAGTATAGATGATAACAAATAGCTTAGAGCTCTAGGTGTCTTACAAAATTATCTTAGCATAAATCAAGTCTCCAAAGAAAAAGGACACATGTGTAAAGTCAAATAATGATCAGCAAAAAAAAAATAAAAAATTGTTGTCTTTAAAGAGCATGATATTTCAATATGTATTATTAGCTTTTACTTGGATATTTTGAGAACACTAGTGAGCCAAGAAAGATCAACTGTGTTTAGTAACACAGAGAAGCACAATGGTCTGGAGTACTCTAAATACAGCAGATATATACAACTGACATCAAAAGTTAGATTTCTTTCTTTCATTGTTGAGCTGTTGGCTTCTACAAATCTTTGGAACAAAAACTCTCTGGTGCATCTAGGTCTTCAAAAGTCTTTGCTGATGGATGGTTAGAAAAGTCCATGGAGATGAAAAATTTCGGTTGTATGGATTCATTCTCTGAGAATTGGAATCACTAATTTATTCCTTAGCTTTTTTCAATTGGATTTGTATTTTTCTAGTCATTTTCATTTGTCTTTCCAGGAAGTGCTCAACAAGACCCAGACAAGGTTGCTGAAGCCATAATGGATGCCATTGAAAACTTTTTCCAGAAAGGACTTGTCCGGTCTGTGAAAAAAGTTAAAGTTGTTATTTTTCAGCATCAAATAATGGATGTTTTTTGTACCAACATGAAAAAAAGAGAAGGCTCTCCGGCTCCCTCACAATCTATAATGTCCAAAATTGCACGTGAGTTTTTGATTTTTATGAAATGCATGTTGCTAATATTGAGATCACATGAGAAATAGCTAAAGTTCTACATTATTTTTTGTGGTAGTTTATTAGCTTCCCCTGGTTTTATTGAGATATAATTGATATATGTCACAGGTTAAGGTGTACTGCATAATGGTTTGACTTTACATATGTTACTGCAATATGCTTAGTTAGTATCCATCATCTCATACATCTCTTAAAATGAGAAAGCAAAATGATTTTTTTTTCTTGTAATAAGAAATATAACAAACAATTGCAAAGAATGTATGGAATCACAAAACACCTAAAAGTAGCAAAAAGAAAAAAAATTATTCTCTTTAAAGAATAATCAAGTTAGAAGCATCACAATTCCTGATTTGAAAGTATATTTCAAAGTTGTAATAATCAGGAAAGAACCAAGATGGCGGCTTAAGTAAGCACCTAAGCAGCTGCCTCACACAACAATTTAAAAAAACAATTAAAATCAGAACGGACTTCATCCAAAAACACAGGAAAGCTGGCAGAGTGGGAAATCTACAACTAAAAAGAAGGAGAGAGGCTCAGGGAGCCTGCAAAGTGCTGAGGTAGAGGCACATGCAGAGAGGAAGTGCAGCCGAATGCCTGGCTGGCAGGAGGGGAGGAATTCCTGATTGCACTGAACCTTTCCTCACTGTACTGAACCCCAACCCCAGCCGAAACCCTGTGGACCCAGGCTCATACGGGTGGAGTCTAGACTGTAGAGGAAGGCACCCAGAGACTCAGACTGGGAGACCAGGGAGCCGGGAGCCCCAGCAGGCAGGGTCTACAGTTGCGCATGAGTGAGTACGTGCAGAGGTCTGACAGCAGAGGTTGCTGTGGCCTCTCCGTAGTTTAGCAGGATGAGTCAGAATCTTCAAACTAGAGAGACCCAACCCAATTCCAGGCGAGCCCACACTCTTGCACAGGGAATCTGGGACTGTCAGGTGGAAACTCAAGGGAGCCATGGAAGGCAGAGGTCAGGTGGAAACTCAGGCGAGCGCACAAGGGCAGGGCTGACGAGAAGCCAAGACTGTCAGCTGAGCTCTGAGTCTCCGCCCCACCTAAGCTGAGCACAGAGGCTTCTGCAATTTTGCAAGTCTGATCCTATAAGACTGTCTCCAATACAGAAGGTATCCCAGAGTAGAAACAGCTGATACCCACATCCAATTGGCCTGAAGGTCAATTCCTCCCAGAGATACCAACAACAATAAAGACTTACCTACAACAAGGCTGTACACACAATCCATAAAGGGGAGAACCAAGAGTGTCTACCTCAGGTAACTGAGGAGGCTGACCCACTGGGCCATATAAGACACCAAACAAACAAAGCAATCCTACCAACTCTGGAAAGCAGCGAAAATGCCAATACAAGGAAATAGATCTCAAATGAAAGAGATGGAGGATATAGAGTTCAGAACTACAGTTATAAGGTTATGCAAGAATATCCTAGAAAAGGCCTGTAAATTTCATGAGACCTAACTAAAAATTAATCATAAACTGACTAAATTGGAAAATATTATGCAGAGATCCAACAGCAGAATGGAGGAACACAAGAGTCAGGTCAAAGAGCCAAAAGACACTCCTCTGGAGGAACAAGAAGAAAAGAGAATCCAGAAAGTTGAAGATAGTGTAAGGAGCCTCTGGGACAACTTCAAGCGTACAACATCAGAATTATGGGGGTGCCAGAAGAAGAGAGAGTGCAAAATACTGAAAACATATTTGAAGAAATAATATCAGAAAACTTCCCCCACCTGGTGAAAGAAATAGACTTACAAGTACAGGAAGCGTACAGAACCCCAAACAAGAGGAATCCAAAGAGGAATACTCCAAGACACATCATAATTAAAATGCCAAGGGCAAAAGACAAAAAGAAGATCTTACAAGCAGCAAGAGAAAAGCAGTTGGTTACCTATAAAGGAGCACCCATACGACTATCAGCTGATTTCTCAACAGAACCCATGCAGGCCAGAAGGAGTGGCAAGAAATATTCAAAGTGATGAATAGCGAGAACCTACAACCAAGATTATCATATCCAGCAAAGTTATCATTCAGAATTGAAGGTCAGATAAAGAGCTTCACAGATAAGAAAAAGTTAAAGGAGTTCATCACCACCAACCAATATTATATGAAATGCTGAAAAGTATTATTTAAGAAGAGTAAGAAGATCAAGTGAATTAAAAATCTGAGGAACAGAATAAACTGGTGAATATAATAGAATCAGGGGCAAAGAAAGGGAGTGGATTGATAATTATCAGGGGGAAAGGAGTGTGGGGGTGCAGAAAGAGACTGGATTAAAATTGTATAACCTATGGAAAAGGACAATGGCAGGGGTGGGGGTGGGGGAGAGGTAAGGGCAGAGGTTGGTGTGGGAACTGGTTGGGAGGGAGCTATGGGGGGGAAGAGAAACAATTGTAATAATCTGAGCAATAAAGATTTATTTAAAAAATAATTTTAAAAAGCTGTAATAATCAAAACAGTAGGATATTGGTATAAAAACAGACACATAGATTAATGAAAGAGATTAGAGAACCCAGAAATAAATCCATGCATATATGACTAATTAATTTACCACAAAGGACCCAAAAATATACAATGAGGAAATGTAGTCTGTCTAATAAATAGTGTTGGGTACTCACTTCAGTAGCACATATGCTAAAATAGTGTTTTGAAAACTAGACAGACATGCAAAAGAATTAAACTGCCCACTAACTTACACCACGCACAAAATCCACTCAAAATATTATAGATTAAACACTTGAATGCAAGATCTGAAATTATAAACCTCCTAAAAACAAAAACAAAAACAAAAAAACATAAAGAGTAAGCTTCTTAACATCAGTCTTGATAATAATTTTTGAACTTGATACCAAAAACACGTACACCAAAAGCAAAAGTAAACAAGTGTGAATATATCAAACAAAAAAGCTTCTGTAGTGCAAAGGAAACCATCAACCTACTGAATGGAAGAAACTATTTGCAAGTCATATACCTGATTATGGGTTAATATAAAAAATATATAAAGAACTCATGCAGGGGGAATCCAAGATGGCTGCACAGGTAAACACCTAGCCGCAGCTGCACACAACAATTTCAATAAAATACAACTAAAATATAAAATGGACATTACCCAGAACTACAGGAAAGTCGACTGACTGGAAATTCTACAACAAGAAGCAAGGAGAAAACCAGAAGGAAGAGCGGAGGAGCTGTAAAAGCCTAAGGTACGGAGACACGCGGTGTGCGCGGAGAGGACGGAGCCGGAGAGGAGGGGCAGCTGAGGTGCTGGCTGGCGTTCCCTAGCAGGAAGGAGATAAAAGCTCCGACTGTGCTGGGCCCCAGTTCCGACTGCTCTGAACCCCAGTTCTAGGCCAGACCCCGGGGACCCAGGCTCACACAGAGGGAGCTGGGCTGTAAGGCGGAACCCCGGGGGAGGGGCAAAAGGAGGTCCCGGAGGCGCGCACATTATGCGCAGAGAAGGGACGGTTGGCTGTGCCTCGGGATTGCCCTGGTGGGAAGGAGACAGGGGCTCCAGACTGCTCTGAACGCCACCTCCAACTCCACTTCCAACTGAACTGAACCCCAATACCGGGCTCATTGGGAGAGAGCCTAGACTGTTTAGTAGCAGGAGAAAATTGAGGGCACCTTTCTCTCAGAGGTGCTTGCAGCGAGTACTGAAGGACCCTGAGACTCAGGAGCCGCATAGGGCAGGGCTGACGGAAGCCAAAGCTGTAGGCTCCACCTTGAAACCCCGCCCCATCAGTGAAGCTACGAAAATGCGACAAGGAAATAGATCACAAACGAAAGAAATGGAGGACAAAAAGAGACTAGATATAGAGTTCAAATCTACACTTATAAGGTTTTTCAAGAATTTCCTAGAAAAGATTGATAAGACCTATAAGGATATGAAAAGGGATCAACTAGAATTAATAAGGAATCAACAAGAAATGATAAGGGATCAACAAGAAATAAAGAATACATTGTCTGAAATAAAAAATATTATACTGCCGAAACCGGTTTGGCTCAATGGATAGAGCGTCACCTTGGGGACTGAAGGGTCCCAGGTTCGATGCTGGTCAAGGGCATGTGCCTTGGTTGCGGGCATATCCCCAGTGGGGGGTGTGCAGGAGGCAGCTGATCGATGACTCTCTCTCATTGATGTTTCTAACTCTCTGTCCCTCTCTCTTCCTCTCTGTACAAAATCAATAAAATATATTTAAAAATATATATATTATACAGAGTCCTAAAAACAGAATGGAAGATTGCAAAAATCAAGTCAAAGATTTGGAACATAAACAGCCAGAAGACACTCCTCAGCAGAAGCAAGAAGGCAAGAGAATCTAGAAAATTGAAGATAATGTAAGAAACCTCTGGGACAACTTCAGGTGAACCAACATCAGAATTATGCGGGTCCCAGAAGATGAGAGAGAGCAAGATATCAAAAACATACTGAAAGAAATAGTGACAGAAAACTTCCCCCACCTGGTGACAGAATTAGACTTACAAGTCCAGGAAGCGCACAGAACTCCAAACAAAAGGAATCCAAAGAGGACCACACCAAGACAAATCATAATTAAAATTCCAAGAGCAAAAGACAAAGAGAGCATATTAAAAGCAATGCTCTGGTTTCTCTTCAGATCATATAAATCTTTTGCCTTTTACCTTTTAAAAGCAGCAAGAGCAAAGCAGGTAGTTACCTATGAAGGAGCACCTATACGAATGTCAGCTGATTTCTCAACAGAAACCATGCAGGCCAGATGGGAATGGCAAGAAATATTCAAGGTGATGAACAGTAAGAACCTACAGCCAAAGATAATCTATCCAGCAAAGCTATCACTCAGAATCGAAGGTCAGATAAAGAGCTTCACTAATAAAAAAAAAGCTAAAGGAGTTCATCACCACCAAACCAGAATTATATGAATTGCTGAAGGGGGTTCTTTCAGAAGAGAAAGTAAATAAAGATAAAAATTATGAACAACAAATACGTAACTATCAACAAGTGAATCTAAAAACCAAGGAAATTAAAAAAAAAATCTGATGAACAATATTAACTGTTGAATATAATAGAATCAGAGGTATGGAAGGGGAGTGAACTGACGATTCTTGGGGAAAAGGGGAGAAGGGGTTGTGGGAAGAGACTGAACATAAACTGTGCACCTAGGGATGAGGACAATGGGGGGTGGGGAAAGGGCAGAGGGTGGGGTGGGAACCTGGTGGAGGAGAGCAATGGAAAGGGGGGGGGAGGAACATTTGTAATAATATGAACAATAAAAATTTATTTAAAAAAAAAATAAAGAACTCATGCAACTCAATGAAAAAAATAATAAAATCCAATTTAAAAATTTGCAGAGGATATGCATAGACATATTTTTCCAAAGAAGATATACAATTGTCCAACAGGTACATGTAAAGGGGTTTAGCATCACTAATCATCAGGCAAATGCAAACCAAAATAATAATGAGATATCACTTCAAACTGGTTAGAATGCTATTATGGAAAATACAAGAAAAACCTAAGTGTTGAACCAGTGTGGAGAAAGAGAATCCTTGTGCACTGGGAATGTAAGCTGGTACAGCCACTATGGGAAATAGTAGGAGGTTCCTAAAAAATTTAAAAATATAACTAACACATTACCCAGTAGTTACACTTCTGGGTATTTATCTGAAGGAAATGAAATCATTATCTCTAAAAGGTATCTGCTCCCTTTGATTAAGGTTTCAGGAATTAGCAGAGATGTGGAACAGGCTAGAAATGCTGTAGAGGAAATGATCAAGACAATTAGCTCGATCAGCCAAAGAGCAGGATTCCAGAGCAGATTATATCACTGACTTTGTAGAATGGCAATATGAAGACAATAACACTTTTCGTAGTTTTGAAAAATTAACCAATATGAAATTGGAGGAGTTTACATTGAGGTCGGGAAAATACAACCTGGGTGAGCCCAACATCCCGGGATGACCATCTTAGTGGTAGCATAGCCAGACCTTGCCTGTTTGTAGTTCACAAGCTCCCTAGAGCCAGTTCCTCTGGGAGGTAGTGGCTGCTCCAGTCAGGAGAGGGACAGCCATGGGCTTTAAAGAAAAGTGGCCCAAGGTTTTATTTAGAACAAGAGGGAGAAGACAGCCTGGTGAGAAAGTGGGCACTTTCTGCCTCTGTGATTGGTACCCAGAGAGCCCCAATGGAGCCTGCGGGATCTCCCAAAAGTCACTTCCTCCTCTGCCCTGAGAATAAAGTTCCCAGACACACACATAGGAAGCAGCCTCAGATTCTGTGACTGGATCTGCTTCTGAGAAGGGAATGCTTGTCTCATATAGAGGTGAGACAGACTTCAAACCACAGAAGTCCCCCACTGAAAACTAGTGAAAATGGCTTCCCTTTCAGTACCTTCTCTCCATCTTTTGGGAGGTCAGTGCGAATGAATTCCTCACACCCAGAGCAACCCTGGGCTAATGAGAATGCAAGAATAAAACTTTGTTTAACCTAAGAGCAGATGGAAATGCCACATAGCAAAACTCACCACCCATTCAACTCTTAAGGATGTTGTGAAGAATAACGAAAGAACCCATGTAGATGGCCTTGTGGTTAGAGTTCTAGCAAAAATTCCAAGCATTTGTAAACAAGACAATCATGATTATTTAAAACATAACAGGGCAATAATTGATTGTTAAATTTAAATTATGACAGATTAGAGACTGAGCAGAATACGCAATCGAGTCAAGGCATGATCAAAACTTGTGAAGATGTAGGGACACAGGTTCGATCCCTGAGGAATTTTGATTTGATAGGTGTGTGTGTGTGTGTGTGTGTGTGTGTGTGTGTGTGTGTGTTTTAATAAGCATTACAGTTGGTTCTGTAGTGGTCTGTGATCTATGCTTTGAAAAACATTATCCTAGAAATATAAGAAATAAGAAATATATTGAATACATTGAATCAGAAGATTTGAAACAAGAACACACATGCTATTCAGTTTTTTGAAGCATACCAGGGAGGGGGACTGTGTAGATGAGCCTTCCCAGGTGCAGAGTGTCCTCAAATGTCTACTTTGCAGTTGAGATCCCTGGACACTGGAGTGATATGAAGCAACAGCGTGTCTGTCTGATTGAGCTGAAGCCTGGTCAACCAGAATACAGCAAAGTGGCAAATGCCTTCAATCATACCTGCTCACAATTCAAGATAGAGAAGGTAAGCATTCTGATGACATGGAGTTTCTTAATGGTGGAAATAAGGGGTATTATGTTCCTGGAATAATACATTGATATTTACTTCCTAACATATTTTTAACCCAGAATTAGAATATTTCATGGTAATTAGATTTTAAATTCTAGATTTTACTCATCTCCCCAAAATTCCTGAGACATTAAGACTGAGATTTTTAAGTCAGTTATTACAAGACTAGAGACCCAGTACACAAATTTTGTGCACAGAACGGGGGTTCCCTCAACCCATCCTGCACCCTCTCCAATTGGACATCCCTCTTGCAATCTGGGAATGCTGGCTCCTAACAGTTCACTTGCCTGCCTGCCTGATTGCCTCTAACTGCCTCTGCCTGCCTTCCTGATCCTCTAACTACTCTCCCCTGTTGGCTTCATCTTGTCCCCAACAACACTCCCTTGCTGACCTGATCTTGCCCCCAACTGTCCTCCCCTGCAGGCCTGGTCACTCCCAGCTGCTCTCCCTTGCTGGCCTGATCTCGCATCCAATTGCCCTCCCCTGCCAGGCAGATCTTGGACCCAACTGCCCTTCCCTTTCAGCCAAATTGCCCCTTACTGCCTCTGCTAAGGTCCCCACCACTACGGATTTTTCTGGAAGGAATTCGGACTTCCAGAAGATGGCTGGTCGACCAAGTCTAATTAGCATATTACCCTTTTATTAGTGTAAATTGATTATATAGGATAAGATTGCTTAAATAGGGGGGGGGAGGGAGAAAGCATTTTTCAGCAAGAAGAGATGCTCTTCGTAGACAAAAATACATAATCTCTATATCTGGACTGATACCCAGCCATGGGCACTATGTGTATAAATATTAGAGGCCTGGTGCTTGAATTTCTGCATAGGTGGGGTCTGGCCAGCCTGGCTGGGAAGGGGGAATGGGTGGTTGGTTGGCCTGCCTGCTGGTTGAAGCCTTTTATTATATAGGATATACATGGAGTGGCCAGATTGTTATGCATTCAGAGATCATAATATTCTGACCACTCAGTGTACTGCCAAACTGGTCATTAAAAAATTATCTGCTTTGCACCTTGGCTTACACCAAACAGCTGTTGCCCTTAAAATCCCTCCTCAGACCACACTTTAGGTTTTGCCTTAACAGTTCACCCAGATTAGGTTCTGATGGTTGGTTTCTATGCCAATCAGCGTCTCCAGGCCTATCTCTATGCCTCTCTCAGGGCCTGATTCACAGTTTCCTGGGCAGCTCCTGATCAGCCCTTGCCTCTCTCTCTCTCTCTCACCAGGCCTCGCCAATAGCTACAGTGGCTGTGGATCAGGCCCTGCTTATCTCTCTGGACCTGATCCTTAGCCACTGAGGCAGCAGCGAGGTCATGAGGCCTCTCCCCAAGCTCCAGGCCAAAGGCTAATGACCTCGCTGCACTCACCTTGCCCCACCGAGCCACCCCCATGCACTACCCTACCCATCTTCGACCTCCCTGTTTGCCTGGTGACTGGTTGTCCGCCTGGTCATTTAGGATGTGACAGCCCCTGGCCTTTTATAATGTAGGTAATAGATTGCAATATATTAATATACTAAAGACATTTATTTCCACCAAAACTGGTTTGGCTCAGTGGTAGAGCGTCGGTCTGCGGACTCAAAGGTCCCGGGTTCGATTCTGGTGAAGGGCATGTTCCTTGGTTGCGAGCACATCCCCGGTAGGGGGTGTGCAAGAGGCAGCTGGTCGATGTTTCTCTCTCATCGACGTTTCTAGCTCTCTATCTCTCTCCCTTCCTCTCTGTAAAAAGTCAATAAAATATACTTTAAAAAAAAAAAAGAACTTTAAAAAAATAAAATAAAGACATTTATTTCCTTTGTGAAGCAAGCTAATTAAAATTCAAAGATATGGCTTCAAAGTTGGAGTTGATAAGAAGCAAACCACCACAGAGAGACCAGCGAAGGCTCCTCAGCGTTGGGTTATGTGCCTTTGCCCCACTGTTCACAGGCCAAAAGTGCTGGCTTCCTTAGTAAACCCACTGGTCCTTTCATTGTTCATATCATTTATTTTGGCATCTCCTACTTTTTTTATTGTTTTATTTTTTAAATTTAATAAGTCTTTATTGCTCAGATTATTACAATTGTTTCTCTTCCCCCACCAATAGCTCTCCTCCAACCAGATCCCACCCCATCCTCTGCCCTTACATCCCCCTGAATGTCTTCATCCATAGCTGTACAATTTTGTCCAGTCTTTTCTCATACAGCCCAAACCCATTTCCCCCTGAGAATTATCAATCCACTTCCATTCTTTGCCTCTGATTCTACTGTATTCACCAGTTTATTCTTATTCTCAGATTTTTAATTCAATTGATTTTAATATTTACATGTTGATAGATAATGTATTTCTTACTCATAATTTTTATCTTTATTTTTTTCTTTTTCCTCTTCTTAAAGAATACCTTTCAGCATTTCATATAATATTGGTTTGGGGTGAAATCAATATTTAGTTTTCTCTTGTCTGTGAAGCTCTTTATCTGACCTTCAATTCTGAATGATAACTTTGCTGGGTAGAGTAAATTTGGTTGTAGATTCTTGCTCTTCATCACTTTGAATATTTCTTGCCACTCCCCTCTGGCCTGCATAGTTTCTATTGAGAAATCAGCTGACAATCTTATGTGTGCTCCCTTGTAGGTAACTGTTTTTCTCTTGCTGCTTTTAATATCCCCTCTTTGTCTTTTGCTCTTGGCATTTTAATTATGATGTGTTTTGGTGTAATCCTCTTTAGGTTCCTTTTGTTTGTGGTTCTGTGTGCTTCCTGGACTTGTAGGTCTTTTTCTTTCACCAATTGGTGGGGGAAGTTTTCTGTCATTATTTTTTCAAACAGGTTTCTAATATCTTGCTCTCTCTCTTCTTCTGGCACCCCCATAATTCTGATGTTGGTACGCTAGAAGTTGTCCCTGAGGCTTCTTACACTATCTTCAACTTTTTGGATTCTTTTTACTTTTTGCTTTTCTGGTTGAGTGTTTTTTGTTTCTTTGTATTTCAAATCTTTGACTTGATTCTTGTGTTCCTCTAGTCTGCTATTGAGATATTAGGACTCTGTATAATATTTTTTTAGTCAGTGTATGTTTAATTTCTAATTGGTCCCTTTTCATATCCTCAAGGATCTTGCTAAACTTACCCGCCTTTTCTAAGAAATTCTTGGAAAACCTTGTAACCATGGTTTTGAACTCTGTATCTACAATATATCTAGTCATTTGTTTTCCTCCATTTATTTCGTTTATGATCTGTTACCTTGTCTCTGTATTTTCGCTGCTTCCCTGCGTTGGTAAGGTAGCTTTGTGTGCTAGGTTTCCCATATGGCCCAGTGGATCGGCCTCCACAGTTACCTGAGGTGGACAACTTTGGTGCACCCCTTTGTGGTCTGTGTGTACAGCCTTTTTGTAGTTAAGTCTTGATTGTTGTTGGTATCACTGGGAGGAATTGATCTCTAGGTCAATTGGCTGTGAGGATCAGCTGTGTCTACACCAGGAGAACTTCTGTGGTCGAGACAGCCTATGAAACAAGACTTGCAAAAGCCTCTGTGCTCAGCTTAAATGTGGAGGAGTCTCAGGGCTGAGCTGACAGTCTTGGCTTCCTGTCAGCCCTGCCCTTGTGCACGTGCCTCCAGATCTCTGCCTTCCATGGCTCCTCTGAGTTCCCGCCTGACAGCCCAGATTTGCCCCATAAAAGCATGGGTCTCCAAGGGTTCGCCTGGAACTAGGGGACAGTGCAGTCAGAACTGGGGTTCAGTGCAGTCAGGAGATTACAACTCCCTTCCTCTGGGGAGAACTAGAGACAACCTCCTCAGTGAGTCTTCTCTCTGAATACTTGCACCTCCAAACCCCTGCCCACTGCAGCTTCCCAGAATCTCCATGTGCCATTCTCTCTACCTGACAGTCCAGACTCCCCCAGTATGAGTCTGAGCCATGGGGTTTTACCCGGAACTGGGGTTCAGTGCAGTCGGGGGCTTCCTTCCCCCTCCTGCCAGAGAAAGCCAGCCAGGCACTCAGCCACCCTTCCTCTCTGCGTGTATCTTCATACTTTACCCCTTTGCAGCTCCTCTGATTGTCCATGAGCTTTTTTCTTTCCTTCTAGTTGTATAATTTCTACTCAGCCAGCTTTCCTGTGGTCCTGGATGCTCTGCATTCTGTCTTTTAGTTGTAGTTTTAAAATGGATGTACGAGGCAACAGTTTAGTTACTTACCTAAGCCACCATTTTGGTTACTCTGAGTTCCTTCTCTTCATCCATAATAATGAGTGTGCCAATAAGCTGTACATTTTCTTTCTTTGTAAATTTACTTTTACTTTATTTGCACTGCCACAACTGCCCTTCAAAACTGGGGGCATGCCCCAAACACCAATGTGAGGGGATGCTCTGATGAACTCCAGCTGCTTCTCCCAAGAGATTTGGTCCAATGAGACTGAACCTGGGACAAGTGAAATTGTATGTTAAGTGATTGGAAAACACCAAAGTCTGAGCATTGCTCCAGACATCAGAGGCCTAGTTTTCAGTCTGGCCTCCATGATCTGTGCAGCCAGACTACATTGCTATTTACTGCCCTGGCCTGGAATCCTGATATCCTCCATTATGGTGCCAGTGGCTTTTGGCACCAATTGTGGTACTCTCCCCCATTCTGTTTACTCATGTAGTTAAGCACATAATAATTCAAAAAGATTTGAAATGTCCTAAGAGATATATACAGAGAGAAACCAAGAGAGTGGCACAGGAAAACGCTGGCACTTGCATCCTCCCACAACCACATCAAAATTACAACGAAAATACAGAACAACCATCATTCAGAACCACCTAAAATCTGGCTGAATGGAAGTCCTACAACTAAAGAATTAATGAAGAAAGCACATTAAGACTGCTAGGAGAGTTGAGGTGCAGAAAGTGCTGGTCTGACACCCAGGTGTGGCCTGCTTTTAATTGGGAGGGATGGATATCTTGGTTGAGGAGGATTCCCATGAGGAGTAAGACATCCCAACCCAATACCAGGTTCCAAGCATAGCTACTTTGGTCTACAGCCAGATTCCCTGCCACCAGGATTCATGCCCCACTATTCCTATTGGATGAGAGATTAAGTTCCATTAACTAATTTCCTTCTTGACTAGACTAGACCTTAGTGCTTCTCCGGGGTTAGACCTGGGCTAGGCAAACCAATATCTTACAAGGACTGAAAAGGAGAGAGGCAAAGGGACAAAGTGGGGTAGACTGCAGCAGGAGCAGTTATTAAGGTGAAAGTAAGAAGCAGGAGTTGAGATGCCTTGGTCGTCCAAGACCCTAAATATTGCTTGCTGCATGTGGTGCAGAAAAGATGTTAAAAATTAAAGCAATATTTTCCCCCAAGACCCGATTTGTGAAGCACTGGGGATAAAAAACTTTCTGAATGCAGAGATCTGTCGCTATTTGGCATTGAATTTGCTGTTTACAGTAATTTTTACTTATAAAAAGTAGGATCATGCCCAGGCCAGGTGACTCAGTTGGTTGTAATGCCACCTGAAACACCAAAATGTTTTGGGATTGATTCCTGGTCAGGGCACATACCTAGGTTGTGGGTTTGAGTCTTGTTTGGGCACATATGGGAGGCAATAGATCGATGTTTCTCACATCATTGCCACTCTCTATCTCTGTCTCTATCTCCATCTCTACCTCTTTTCCCTTCTTCTCTCTAAACATATCCTTGGGTGAGGATTACTAGTAAAAGGAAAAATAGTGCCCTGGCTGGTTTGGCTCAGAGGATGGAGTGTGGGCCTGCCCAGGTTCGATTCTGGTAAAGGGCACATGACTGGGTTGTGGGCTCAGTCCCCAGTAGGGGGCATGCAGGAGGCAGCCATTTTAATGATTCCCTCTCATCATTGATGTTTCTCTCTCACTCTTCCTTTCCCTTCCTCTTTGAAATCAGTAACAATATTTTTTAAAATAAAAATAAGGCCGAAACCGGTTTGGCTCAGTGGATAGAGTGTCAGCCTGCAGACTCAAGGGTCCCAGGTTCAATTGCAGTCAAGGGCATGTACCTTGGTTGCAGACACATCGCCAGTAGGGGGTATGCAGGAGGCAGCTGATCGATGTTACTCTCTCATAGATATTTCTAACTATCTCTCTTCCTTCCTCTCTGTAAAAAATCAATAAAAAATTTAAAATAAAGTAAAATAAAAATAAGGAACATGTTTCATTTGCTGTATCTTGCCACAGGCCCTTGGCACTGACCGAATATTTTTCCTTATTGATTTGCAGATTGAGAGAATCCAGAATCCAAGTCTCTGGCAGCACTACCAGACGAAGAAAAAAACCATGGACGACAAGAATGGCCAAATACAAAATGAGAAGCTGCTCTTTCATGGGACAGATGCTGACTCCTTGCCACATGTCAATCAGCACGGCTTTAACCGCAGTTATGCAGGAAAGAACGGTAAGGAAGTAAGTCACGTGGCTGCTCCAAAGGAGGCATCAGCCATGGAAGCCAAGCTGGCTCAGGGATCCCGTGGATTGCACTGTGTTCCCTCATGGCTCATGGCCAGGGTACAGCCAGCGTTTCAGGTCAAACTCACTAAGTTCCATCCCAAAGGGACTGACTGGCCCTTTGAGGTGGAGGAGTGATTTATTAAAAGTAAAACACACACAATTTTTTAAAAGGCTATAGAGAGAACTGAACATTATATTAACATTATTTGACATATTGAGTCAATACATCAAATTATAGACAAATTGAAATTCTTAAAAATGTTGTTTTTCTTTTCACAGCTACGGTATATGGAAAGGGAACCTACTTTGCTGTCCAGGCCCTTTACTCTGCCAATGATACTTACTCCAGACCAGATGCAAATGGGAAAAAGCATATGTATTATGTGCGTGTGCTTACTGGATTGTACACACGTGGAAACAGTTCATTACTTGAGCCTCCTCCAAAGAATCCTCAAAATCAGCTTGATCTGTATGATACTGTCACAGATGATGTGAGCACTCCAAGTTTATTTGTGGTATTTTATGACTATCAGGCTTACCCAGAATACCTCATTACTTTTAAAAGTAACATTTTGGTATCCTTCACTGAAAAAAGGCATTATTTATCTACACTAGCAATTTTCAACCTTTTTCATCTCATGGCACAAATAAACTAATTACTAAAATTCTATGACACAACAAAAAATGTATTTTTTGATCTGACAAAAAACAACAACACCCAATATAATTTTTATTCATTCATATCAGTAGCTATAATGTTGACTATTGTCATTTAAAAATATATTTTTATTGATCTCAAAGAGGTAGGCAGAGGGGGAGCCACAGAGAGAAGAGAAAGAGAGAAAGAGAGAGAGAGAGAGAGAGAGAGAGAGAGAGAGAGAGAGAGAGAGAGACAGACATCAATGATGAGAGAGAATCATTGATCAGCCTACCTCCTACATGCCCCACACAGGGGATTGAACCTGCAACCTGGGCATGTGCTTCGACCAGGAATCAAACCACCATGACCTCATGGTTTGTAGGTTGATGCTCAACCATTGAGCCACACCGGCTGGGTGCCTGTTGTCATTGTTTTACTTGACAATCTACTGGCAAAGAGGTCAGCTTCCCTAACTAGATAGGTATTGCATGTTCTAAAAAGTATTGTGGCATACCAGTTGAAAATTGCTTATCTGTACTATGTACACAACTTTTAGACATTTTTTGCTCTTAACCGCTTATTCTAAGATCAAAGGATCCTTGTCACTGAAATCAGGCTTTCTTCAGCTTCGCTTTCCTAACTGCAGTGACCTTTTCTTGAAATCAATAAATGTGAGAATTTAAATTAATTTAGCTACAACCATGGGCATCAAAGCTATAGAAGAAGAGAACAGGCTTATATTTCTAGGAAGGGAAGGAAAGCCTTAATCTTAAAAGCTGAGGGCACAGCTATGCAATTCCAGCTGCCACTGAAGGGGACAGCTGTTACCAGGTCAGCATGCCATAGTACTGTGGGGAGCACAACTTCCTGAGTGAGTGGACTGCGGTCCTTCCAGGGGGCAGAGATGGTGTCTTCTTCAATTTATTTTACCCATTCACTGAGGTCTGAAGTCTGATGGGTTTTCCAGAAAAGTTTCATAAACGTATTAAGAGTAAAACGGTCGCTCTAGTCAGTTTGGCTCAGTGGATAGAGCATCAGCCTGCGAACCAAAGGGCCCTGGGTTTGATACAAGTCAAGGGCATATACCTTAGTTGCGGTTTCCTCCCCGACCCAGGTACTGGTTGGGTTAGGATTAACAAAAATAAAAATAAAAATAAAAAGACTGAAAATGTCTAGTTAGATACCTATCCAAGTAGGAAGCACTTCTTCTACATCCTTGACTTACTGTCACGTTGCCTCAAATCGAACAGATTCTGTGACAGGGAACTTTGTTTTCATGAGCCAGCCCATGACAAAGGGACTCCAGGTGGGGCCATGGGCCTGAGGTGCAGCTGGGCCCTGCACAGGCCAGGGCTGTGGTCTGCCTTGTTGTGTAGATGAATCGTGTCCCCTGGAGCTGTGCAGCACAGCAGGCCTGGCCCCAGTTGGTCCTTTCAATGTTGAATCCAAATCTGCCTTCTTATAACTCCTCATTGGTGCACATTTTGTCCCAGTGGAAACAGTAGGATGATGCCTGCTACATTTTTGGTGTGAAACCCTCTGTTATGTTAAGATGAAATGAATTCTAAGATGGTTAAATGGCATATTTTCTCTGGAAGCGTAGCTTTTGATGATTTAAAGCAAATATACACAATAAAGGAATGAAATATAATGATAATTTGCTAACTCAGGATCTGCTGGATGGTAAAGGAAAGTTTCTTTTTTTTAACTTTTCCCTAGGTAAATTTCAGGCTCAAACACTGCTTATTGAGTACTTAGCTTGTACCAGATAGTATAATAGATGCTTTCATATACAGTAGTAATTTTAATCCCCAAACAACTTTGTGAGTTAAGAATTATATCCCCATTTTAAAGCTGAGGAAACTGATGCTCAGAGTGCAAGCAGCTTCCTTGCCTGAGGTCGGTCACCTAGGTAACAGCCCTCAGAGCCAGTCCTGTGCCATCAAGCCCTCTGTTCTTCTCATGACAGAACATGGTCTAGAGATGAATGTTACTAATCCAGGAACATTTCAGCTAATCTGTGAACCGCTTTTATATTTCCTTCTGGCTCTGGTTTCTATCCTAGTTTTCATTTGAAGCTCTGTAGGCTGAGGTCAGAGCTGATGCCCAAGCAAAGCCTGTGCAGATGGCGCACTCTGACAGCAGGGGTCGCTCTTCCCTGGCCACAGGGAACAGCACCTGAGCTTTAAGTAGAGGCAGGTGGCCACAGTAGCTGCTTCATTAACATGGACAACTTGGCATTTCTCTTGTTGATGTTCTTTGTTTTGTAAGAGGATTGGGACTGGCATCTCAACTGGGGCTTGACCATGAATGTAAGAAATAAAAAAGGAGAGGCCTGCTCCCTATCACTGTTCCTTCAGTGGTTTGGTTAACTTAGGGCAAGGCTGGCTGTCAGGGTGCATTAAATGAAGGTATAATGATCCAGTCAGTGAATGTTAAGCTATCCCCCATCAAGAGAAATATGTCACTTATTTGCTTTCTGAATAAAAGACTTGGAAAATGTCATTTGGTGGTGAACGTTTTTATCCTCAAGGGCAGAAACAGGAGAGCTTGATGATGAACACAGGCCACTGCTGAGAAAGACCACAGTTAAATATGGCAGCATCAGAGGATCCTCAGAGTAGTAATACTATTAGGCTGACCCATGGCAGGGTGGCTCAATCGTTTGGAGTGTCGTCCCAAGTACCAAAAAGTTTTGGGTTTGATTCCCAGTTAAGGGCACATATTGAGAGTGTGGGTTCGATCCCTGGTTAGGGTGCATACAGGATGCAACAGATCGATGTTTTACTTTCACATCGATGTTGCTCTCTTCCTCTCTCCCTCTAAAATAAATAAATAAATAAATAAATAAATAAATAAATAAATAAATAAATAAATTTATTTTTAAAATCAATAAAAAGCATATCCTATGGTGAGGATCAAAACAAAAATGGTCTCTCTTTAAAAACAAAAATCAGCTAAAAATCACAGGAGGGGCCCAGCGCAGGTTTAGCTCCGTAAATCTGAAGGCACACTGACCCCAGCAGGGGCCCCTGCTGTGAGAAGCCCACCGTGAGCCTGTGATAGGCCACAGGGGTGGACTCCAGGGCAGAGGTTAACTGTGTTTGGTATTTAAATCACCTGGGGTGTCTGCTGAGACTGTAAATCCTGGCCCATCCCAAAGGAACCAGATTCTGTAGCTGTAGAGGGTGCCAGAAACCTGCACTTTCAGCAAGCACCTCAAATGCCTCTGAAATTCGGGGACACCACAGCCACTTAGAACTTTCATGGGCCCCAGGCACTTTTGCCTTTGTGAGCCTCTTACTCTATTAAGAATTAAAACTTGGCCAGAATCGGTTTGGCTCAGTGGATAGAGTGTCGGCCTGCGGACTGAAAGGTCCCAGGTTCGATTCCGGTCAAGGGCATGTACCTTGGTTGGGGGAACATCCCCGGTAGGGGGTATGCAAGAGGCAGCTGATCGATGATTCTTTCTCATCAATGTTTCTCTCTATCCCTCTCTCTTCCTCTCTGTAAAAAATCAATAAAATATATTTTAAAAAAAAGAATTAAAGGGAGATCCAAGATGGCTGCGCCCAGGTGAACACCTAGCCGCAGCCGCACACAACAATTTCAATAAAATACAACTAAAATATAAAACGGACATTGCCCAGAACTACAGGAAGGTTGACTGACTGGAAATTCTACAGTGAGAAGCAAGGAGAAAACCAGAAGGAGGTGCGGAGGAGCTGGAAAAGCCCAAGGTACGGAGACGCGGCACTCGGAGAGGACTGAGCAGGAGAGGAGGGAGGCCGAGTGCCTGGCGTGCGTTCCCTAGCGGGAAGGAGATAAAACTCCGACTGTGCTGGGCCCCCGACTGCTCTAATCCCCAGTTTTAAGCCAGACCCCGGGGACTCAGGCTCAGCCATAGGAAGCCGGGCTGTAAGGCGGAACCCCGGGGAAGTGGCGAAAGGAGGTCCCGGAGGCGCGCACACTGCGCGCAGAGAAGGGACGGTCGGCTGTGCCGCGGGATTGCCCTGACGGGAAGGAGACTGGGGCTCCAGACTGCTCTGAACGCCACCTCCAACTCCACTTCCAACTGAACTGAACCCCAATACCGGACTCATTGGGGAAGAGCATAGACTGTTTGGCAGCAGGCGAAAATCGAGGGCACCTTTCTCTCAGAGGTGCTGGCAGCGAGCACTGAAGGACCCGCAGAGGGCGGGGCTGACGGAAGCCAAAGCTGCAGGCTCCACCCTGAAACCCCGTCCCATCAGTAACTGCGAAATGAGACAACAAAATAGATCACAAACGAAAGAAATGGAGGACAAAAAGCGTCTGGATATAGAGTTCAAATCTACGCTTATAAGGTTTTTCAAGAATTTCCTAGAAAAGATGGATAAGGCCTATGAGGATATGAAAAGAGATCAACTAGAATTAATAAGGAGTCATCGAGAAATGATAAGGGATCAACAAGAAATAAAGAATACATTGTCTGAAATAAAAAATATTTTACAGAGTCCTAAAAACAGAAGGGAAGATCACAAGAATCAAGTCAAAGATTTGGAACATAAAGAGCCAGAAGACACTCCTCCACAGAAGCTAGAAGGCAAGAGAATCCAGAAAATTGAAGATAATGTAAGAAACCTCTGGGACAACTTCAAGCGAACCAACATCAGAATTATGGGGGTCCCAGAAGATGAAAGAGAGCAAGGTATCGAAAACATACTGAAAGAAATAGTGACAGAAAACTTCCCCCACCTGGTGAAAGAATTAGACTTACAAGTCCAGGAAGCACACAGAACTCCAAACAAAAGGAATCCAAAGAGGACCACACCGAGACACATCATTATTAAAATTCCAAGAGCAAAAGACAAAGAGAGAATATTAAAAGAAGCAAGACCAAAAAAGGTAGTAATCTATAAAGGAGCACCTATACGATTGTCAGCTGACTTCTCAACAGAAACCATGCAGGCCAGAAGGGAATGGCAAGAAATATTCAAGGTGATGAACAGCAAGAACCTACAGCCAAAAATAATCTACCCAGCAAAGCTATCACTCAGAATCGAAGGCCAGATAAAGAG